TCTTTGTGTTCATCTAGATTGAGTGTGTGCATTGTTGTTCTTTGTGTTCATCTAGATCGAGTGTGTCTTTTGTTGTTCTTTGTGTTCATCTAGATCGAGTGTGTGTGTTGTTGTTCTTTGTGTTCATCTACATCGAGTGTGTGCATTATTGTGCAATCCTAACACCATTTTATATTGTATGCATTATCGTAACTGTTTTCTTTCCTGGATTCTATAATTTGGTCGGTTCCTAGACAAAGCTTTGATTGTACCTAATAGTTTGAAGGAAGACGGTCATGCTTGTTGTGAATGTTTGCTGAATCCACCACACCTAAATGGTGTGAAAGTTATCTTATTTATAATCAAATAAATTACAAGGATATGAAAATAGTAATAAATGGAAATAACAATAAATGGAAAGATACCTATAGTAATAAGGCAAATATCTATATTTGCCTTATAATAAAATATCAAATATAATATATATGGTAAACTATAATTTATTACTAAATATCCTTAACACTTGTACTATCAGTGAAGTTGAGGAAGCAAAAGCATTAGTAGGGCTTGCCCCCATATGGGTTACATGCTTAGCATATGGTATTGTATTCTCTCAGTCATCAACTTTCTTTACAAAACAAGGAGTCACAATGGACAGATCAATAGTTCCTGGATTTGAAGTACCTGCTGCTTCACTTCAATCCTTTATCAGTCTGTCCATTGGCATTTCCATCCTAATATACGATTGCGAGACGTTTCACCGGGAAACCTTCTGGAATTAAAATGCTACAGAGAATCGGATTGGGGATGATATTATCTGCTCTTTCCATGGTCATTGCTGCATTAGTGGAGGTGAAAAGGCTCAAAACAGCTCAAGAATATGGTTTAGTTGATATGCCAAAGGCGACTATTCCTCTGAGTATATGGTGGCTGGTTCCTCAATATCTACTTATTGGAATTTCTGATGCTTTCACAATGGTTGGGCAGCAAGAGTTTTTCTATGACCAGGTTCCAAGTGGACTGAGAAGCATCGGTCTTTCTCTGTATCTGAGTATTTTTGGCGTTGGCAGCTTTTTGAGCAGCTTTCTCATCTCTGCCATTGAAAAACTAAGCAGTGGGGATGGCAAAGAAAACTGGTTTGATAATAATCTGAACAAAGCTCATCTTGATTACTTTTACTGGTTGCTTGTTGGGCTTAGTGCTATTGGGTTTGCTGCTTTCTCATGTTTTGCAAGAACATACATCTACGGTAAAGGGAATTCCACGTGAAAAAAGACTGTTTCGCTAGCACTGTAATTTAAAGCTGTGTATTGAAATCTGAAATCGTATATCGAGTAAGATAACCTGGCTTAGGTTGCCTGTTTATACGTGTTTTCCATCCTTTGCAAGAACAGGAGCTTACATTTAGAATAGGAGGAATACCACATGATGATCTCAACCGTGTTGGAGCTTTGTAATTTAAAGCTCGGAGATTGGATAGGCATTATTGTGATATAGCTAACGGGATCGATCATGAACTTTCACACTCACACTGATATGATATTGTCTATCTTGAGCATATGAACTTTCACATTGATATGATACTGTCTATCTTGAGCATAAGCTCTAGTGACTTTGGTTTTGGTTACCCAAATGGTCTAGTATCAATGAAGATTATTTCTCCTTTATAATCAAAAGGGCTTGGTACCAAAAGGTCTCGTACCAATGGAGATTATTCGTCCTTTGTAATCAAAAGGGCTCGTAACAACGTAGATGTATTCCTTATTTATAAACACATGTTCTTCCTCTTAATTAGTCAACGTGGAACTCCCTCCCAATAATCCAACACCCTCTCCCAAACTTCTCTTCCCAACCTCTCCCAAACTTCTCTCCCCGACCTCTTACAAACTCTCCCCTCAAATCTCTCTCGGAAAAAGTTTTACGGTAGCTATTATTCAATGCCCGTTAAAAATTCTCTATCAGTTTTTCTCAACGCCAGTTTGGTTGGTAAAAGAAGAATTGTCCCAAAGAGAGGCGGTCACAATAAATCGATTTTCCAAAATTATTATTATTTTATTTATTTATTTATTTATTATTATTATTTTTTTTTTTTTGTAAGTTGCTCTAACTTAAATAATATTTTAATTATATGATCCAAATACTAAAACAATATTGACTTGTGATTGTGTGGCACTCACTTGTTATATAGCATGAAAGCAAAAAGGCAACAACAACGGCTTCCTGTGTATAACTATTCGGGTAGGGAGAAGTTGACAACTAGTCATATCCCCTATAGTACATTTTGAGGCGATAACTATTCGGGTAGGAAGAAGTTGACAACTAGTCAAATCCCCTATAGTACATTTTAAGGCGATAACTATTTGGGTAGGAAGAAGTTGACAACTAGTCATATCCCCTATAGTACATTTTGAAGCGATTCAGGTGTGGCAGACATAGACATGATTTCGCTGAAACGTCATACTCCCTAGAATAACTATTCGAGTAGGAAGAAGTTGACAACTGGTCATATCCCCTATAGTACATTTTGAAGCGATTCAGGTCTGGCAGACATAGACATGATTTCGCCGAAACGTCATACTCCCTAGAAATACAAAAACAAAGAATTACAACATGAAAAAACATAAAGGGTTTGGCTTGACATGAGCATATGCGGTCATGGACAACACGCCCTAAACGAGTATGACCGTGACAACAAGCATGCGCAAGCACGAAAAATTGCATCAATAATAAGAGGAACAGAACATGTAAATCATTATCAACTCCTTAATAAACTAAGATTACACGGTCAACATATTTAAATTATATAAAACTCTCTTGCCTCTCCTATAAAATTTAGCTCTCATATAAACTGAATTGAATAGAGGAACCCACGCCTCAATTATAGAATTGATAGAATAAGAAAATAGAGTAAGAAATTAGAGAGTTATCAAGTTTTGTTGCTATTCTCCAATGGAAGTTCCCTTCCTTTGAGCTCTCACATCCACCTCTTTGCCCTAATCAATCATCCTTGGTCTTCTTTTTCTTCTATTGTCACAGTGTCTTCTTTTTCTTCTACTGTCACAGCTGTTGGATTAGGGTTTTTCTTCTTCTCTGGTTTCACAGTCGTTCATAGCAGCAGAGGCTGTCTAATCCAATTTTTGCTTCCTAAAATGTGGCTCTCCTTCTCTTGTGCATCCTTTTTCCTTTTATATTGTGCATGGCTTCCCAGCTGAAACGGAATAAATTGTCTACCTTGGATGTTCCTAATTGGGTAGTCATTGACCCACTTGGACCGCTGATATGGATTAAAATTTCCATATCATCTTCGAAAATTTGTATTCCAAATTGCTTCAACATACGGGTCAGCAATTTGTTCCAGATTTGCTAGTTTGTTCCCAAGTATCATGGTTCAACATAAATGTTACGTACAATTAGAAATAAGTATAACATTTCTCTCTATTATCTCTCGCTTCCCAATCTTGATATTTGCTCACGACTCTTATTCTCAAGTATCAATCTTGATCCTTGCTCTCGATACTCATTCTCTACTTTTGCTCAAGCATCTGACTCAAGCTATGAACACTCGCTTCTGCTATTGGCTTGCACTCCATGAATAATTACTCTCGAGCTTGACTATGCTTAAGTTGTTGAAAATTATTGAGAGTAGTTAGTCCACGTTCACTGACTAAGAGGAGAATCATGAGGTTATAAATAAGGAACATCATCACCATTTATACGAGATCTTTTGAGAAAACAAAAAATAAAGTCAGATAATATTATATAATTGCGAAGGCCAGACCTCTTAAGCTATCTTGTAAAATTAAATTGATTTAAAAGATTGGCGGGAGATTGTGTTATTGGTCAGTTTTCGCATAAAAAACGTAGCAAGCAACCTCGTTCAATTTGTTTAATCCTGCTACTCACATTAATTAATCACACGCTAACATCGTGGCCGATACAATAATTTCATACGGATCATGATGCAATGAACTGGTAATAAAATTTCTTCCGGATTCAGAAATGGAGTGATCAGACCAATTTTTCGATCGGTTCTGCCTCCACACTCCGACGCCAAAATGGAGGCTCCTTTGTTGGATGAGACGGTGGAGGGTGCTGTCGATTACAATGGCCGCCCAGTCCGCAGATCCAAATTCGGCGGCTGGAGATCCGCCTCCTTCATCATAGGTTCGCCACTTCTCTTCCTTCTCTTTCCCGATCCAATTTCTTTATCCTCTACCGTTCTGATTAGGAGTGGAGGTTGCCGAGAGATTCGCCTATTACGGAATCGCCTCCAACTTGATTAACTTCTTAACGGACGAGCTCCGCCTGTCCACGGCCGCAGCAGCGCAGAATGTCAATGTCTGGTCCGGAGTCGCCATGATGCTACCTCTACTCGGAGCTTTTCTGGCCGATTCCTTCCTCGGACGATACCGCACTATCGCTCTTTCCTCTGCCCTTTACATTCTGGTTCCTCCACTATTTTATTCTCTCCTTTTACTTTACTTTACCTTTCTTACTAAATTATGCAAGTTACTGGCTAGAGCTCTGGTAATTCAGGATTATTTTAGTTCCTGCAAGTCAAGGCGATTTAGCCGAAACAAGCTTGAAATTGACGAATAGTTTTCTTTTACTCCGTAGTAAGCTATATATGGTAAATGATAACTGAACTACTTCATAAACACAATAAATAGCTATGTATAATAATCTCTTTTATTGTAATATATGAAGTCATCAATACAAACCAACGATATAAACTTTATAAGACAAACTGAACCATATATACCCGTAAATTGAACCATATATATACCTAGGTAGTGCACCATATATATACTAGTGATTTGAAAATGGACTATGTATTCTTCCTTATGAGTGAATCATGCCCTGATCTTGTGTGATCCTGATCTTGTGTGAATCATGCCCTGTTCTTGTGTGATCCTGATCTTGTGTGAATCATGCCCTGTTCTTGTGTGATCCTGATCTTGGGTGAATCATGCCCTGTTGTTGTGTGATCCTGATCTTGGGTGAATCATGCCCGGTTGTTGTGTGATCCTGATCTTGGGTGAATCATGCCCTGTTGTTGTGTGATCCTAATCTTGGGTGAATCATGCCCTGTTGTTGTGTGATCCTGATCTTGGGTGAATCATGCCCTCCAAGAGTTCAATCCATTCCAGTCGGTTGAAATTTTGCTACATGTTTCACGGCTTTCGTGTTGTATGAGGATAATTTCTGATTTAGCTTTAGAAAAGGCTGAATTCTATTTAGCCAAATGTCTCTAAATTTGATCCAAGGGCTCCACCATGTGTATTTGTTGGATATCCTCGAGGCATTAAAGACTAAGCATTTTGATATTTCAAAGCAGGAGTTCTTTATTTCAAGAAATGTTATATTTTTAGAGGAATTATTTCTCTTTCAATCACAGCCCAATATTGATTGTTCATCCACAGCAGATTTCCTCAAGGATTTTGTGTAACCTTGTCTTGTGGCTGGAGTAGTTGAAAATGGTGACTCTCCAGAAGTAGCTATTGCACCCGAGCCTATTATGCATGATGTTGGTGCACACCTGAGGAAGAATTTCCTTCTCTTTCACCTGAGCCTATTACTTTAGATACTGCTGTTTCTACTGACATAGTTAACGCACCTTGAAGATCATCTAGATCACGGTCTCCACCCAATTACCTAAGGGACTCTCACTGCAATCTGTTGGCTCAATCCCTTATGAATTCATCCTCTGAACCATTTTACTTGAGCAAATACATTTCCTTTGCTGTATATTCGCCTTTCATAAGCATTGGTGTTGAATTTTCCTCTGAATATTAGCCATAAAATTGAATTTCACCTTTGGTTTAAGCTGGCAGAGCACTTATTCATGTAGACCAGGCTTAAAAGTAAATGTGATGTCTGTTTCTTTTATTTTTTTGCGTGGAATTCAGGGGCTTGGATTGTTGACTGTGTCTGCAACATTACCTTATTCCAGCACTTCTGCCTGCCAACAGACAGAAAACCGTGTCCCATGTTCCCCCAGTCTCGTCCACGTAGTTTTATTTTTCTTCTCCTTATATATTGTGGCATTTGCTCAAGGGGGACATAAGCCTTGCGTCCAAGCTTTCGGAGCCGATCAATTTGATGGACAACATCCAGAAGAGAGCAAAGCTAAAAGTTCTTTCTTTAATTGGTGGTATTTTGGTATCGCCGTGGCCACTTTTGCAACATTTACTATAGTGAGCTATGTGCAAGATAACCTTAGCTGGAGTCTTGGGTTTGGAATTCCTTGTATTGCTATGATTTTTGCACTGCTAGTCTTCTTGCTTGGAACTAAGACGTACAGATACAGTAGCGAAGGAGATGTGGAAAACCCATTTGTGAGGATTGGACGGGTGTTTGTCATGGCAGTACGAAATTGGCGAGTAATTTCTTCAGAAATAGCTCATGAAGAGGAAATCCTTGGCCTTTTACCGCACCATAGCTCTCAACAGTTCAGGTAAATCAGAGGACTAAAAGAAGGGTAAAATGTACTAATCTTTTCTGTTCTGTTCAGAAAAATAGTCGTAATATGGATATGATAGGTAATTCTTTATAACATGTGGATATGGAGC